GGACCACCACTTGAGGCCCTCACCTCCGCCGGACTACTGCCTGACGTCGTTACTCTGTCAGTCTGTCGGACCATCGCTTGAGGCCCTCACCTCCGCCAGACCACCGTCTATCTCCGTTGCTTCGCCGGACCACCACTTGAGGCCCTCACCTCCGCTGAACTGCCACTTGAGGCCCTGTGCTCTACCAAGGCACCACCTAAGGCCCGAACTTCTGCTGGGCCACTACCTGACATCCAGAGTTCTACCAGTACCGCCCTACTACAATGGTCTTTCTGACCCCGGTCTCCTATCGACTGCGGTCCTTCTGACCTCTGTCATATACTATGATCCTTTTGACCTCCATCAACAGTCAACGATCATTCTGACCCCTGTCTTTTACCGACTACAGTCCTTCTGACCTCTGTCGCCTACTATGGTCTTTCCGACCTCCATCAACAGACAACGGTCTTTCTTACCCCGGTCTCCTGCCGACTACAGTCCTTCTGACCTCCGTCGCCTTCTATGGTCCTTTCGACCTCCATCAACAGACAACGGTCTTTATAACCCCGGTCTCCTACCGACTATGGTCCTTCTGACCTCCGTCACCTTCTATGGTCCTTCCGACCTCCATCAACAAAAAACATCTTTCTGACCCCGATCTTCTATCGACTACGGTCCTTCTGACCTCCATCACCTACTATGGTCCTTCCAACCTCTATCAGCAGACAACGATCATTCTGACCCCAGTCTCATGCCGACTACGTCCTTCTGACCTATGTCGCCTACTATGGTCCTTCCGACCTCCATCAACAGACAACGGTCTTTCTGACCCCGGTTTCCTGTCGACTATGTCCTTCTGACCTCCGTCGCCTTCTATGGTCTTTCCGACCTCCATCAACAGACAACGGTCTTTCTGACCCCGGTCTTATGTCGACTACAGTCCTTCAGACCTCCTCTGCCTAATATGGTCCTTCCAACCTCCATCAACCGACAACGATCTTTCTCACCCCATTCTCCTGCCGACTACGATCCTTCTGAACTCTGTCACCTACTATGGTCCTTTCGACCACCATCAACAGGCAACGGTCTTTCTGACCCCAGTCTCCTATCGTCTACGGTCTTTCCGACCTCCGTCACTTACTAGGATCATTCCAACCTCCATCAACAGACAACGATCTTTCTGACCCATGTCTCGTGCCGACTATAGCCCTTCAAACAAAACAAACATATCTATGTTGATTATTATAACTCCCACCATGTAATGTGCTCTATATGATATACATTTGTGACATCAAGCTAAGGCCTTCTCCGAAGGAAGGGCCTCATTTGTAATCGACTGCAAATACTAGTGGATTCATTCAAATCGGGTCAGGCCCCATAGTGTTTCCCCCTTTTCAGGGGTTTCCACGTAAAAACTTATGTCTCTTATGAATGTTACACTCTCTCTTATCTGCTTGTGTGCTGGATCTTCGTACAATGCTAAGACGTTAAACTATATATTTCTCTACCGCCGCGAATACTCGAGGACGCAACAATTTTAATAAATAATATGCACATACAAGAAAAAATTATTTCATTTGAAATGAATTTTATCATAAAATAAAAACAAAATAAAACAAAATGGTGAGACATTATATTCAATTGCATAATCAGGCAAATATAATCTCCTCTTTAAATCCTAATTTTCAATTATTATAAAATACTTTATGATGTCATATATGATAAGACATAACTCTATTTGTTACGGACTAGAATATACGCGGCGATAGAGTTAGAAAATTTCCGTCTCAGCGTTGTACGGATATCTAGCACACAAACATATGAGGAATAAAAACACCATGATTTTTACGTGAAAATCTTGGAAAGGGAAAAAACTATGGGGTCACACCCAGTTTGAAAATGTTTTAATAGTGTTTGCTCGAGATACAATAGGCTAACTCATCCTTAAAATTTATGACGATTAGATAAAATTGCTTTCACTTCCGAATTGAAATCCAATTACAAACAAATTGTGTATTCGAGCTGAATTCAAAGTCACTTAGAATTCCAACGTCACTTGGAAATCTGGCAGACTTCCGGCATCACTTGGGCGTCGGACAAAATTCTGGTGTTACTCGGGAGTCAGGCATACTTTTGGCGTCACTTGAGCGTCGGAGGAGAATTCCAGCTTAACTTGGGCGTCGAGCTGAATTCCGGCGGTGGTCGAGGAGGAGTTTCTTCCCTCCTGTCATTCTCTTCTTCTTCTCTTTTCTTCTCTTCTTCTTCTTCTTGCTTGGGTCCCCTCTCATGAGAAATGAGGGGTCTATTTATAGATATTATGTAGTGGCATGACTTATAAATAGGTGAGAGATCAGGGGTAAATAAGGAGTGTTCGGATGGACGGCCGATATTGAATCCCTCAATCGTGTACCGTTCGTTAGACATTTGAAGGTTTTAATGATGTTTGAATTTGGCGATCTTGGGCTTGTTGGATTTGTCTCGTCGAGCCGCTCAATTCAACCATGTAAACGTCATATTTGGAAACTGTTTGGTAACTCAAATTGTGGTTTAAACTTTTCAATAGCGCTTCGAGTGCTTGATTTGGACTCATTTGGGCTCGGTTTGAGTTGATTTTGGTGTCGTTGAGTTTATATTTCCGAGACGCTAAGTTTGACTGTAAGTTCGCTGAATCGAAGTTCAAGTGATCCCGAATTTAATTTTTGAAGTTTCATGCTTGATTTTGTCTCGAGAATCGTGCCCGATCAAGATAATTTTTTGATGATATATCAATATTAATTAGAGATGATATGATTTACAGTATCCGATTTTTAGTAGAGTTATAGTAACTAGTAAGTGTCCAATAGTTGTAAAAAATGGTGGTCTTAAAAATAAATAAAAAATAAAAAACAAAAAAATAAAAAAGGAAAGAAGAAGACAAATTACGCAAACGAACTAGCCCTTGCACTGCACTCCGCTTCTTCACCGGCCGCCTGCCTTCCCAGCTTCCGTCCCCATCGACGCCACAGCCTACACCTCGCCGGCAAGGAGCTTGACCTACGCAAAAATCACTGAACGGAGATCTACGCCCGCGTTCCTCCTGTAAAGATGGATCCCGCCCTGCTGCTGCTTCTCTCCAACCTCCTGCAGCTCCAATCCCAACTCGACCCGGCCGCCTCTCTACTCTCCTCTCCTCCTTCCTCCCCCTCCTCCCTCCTTTCCTCCTCCTCGTCCCCCATCCTCTTCTTTGCCCTCACCTCCATCCTCTCCTACGCATCCTCGACCTCCTCACCTTCCTTACCTCGCCCCAGCCGCCGCCGCCGCCGCCGCCGTCGTTCTTCTTCTTCATCGTCACCTTCCCCTCTTCCTCTCCCCCCTCCGCTTTCTTCTTCTTCACTTATCCTCACCCTCCCTTCCGACCGCAGCATCTTCTCCATGGATCCTTCCGCCCGCGATGCCCGCTTCCGATCACTTTACGGCCTTTCCTACCCAGTCTTCGCCTCTCTCCTCGACCAACTGCTCCCTCTCCTTCCCTCCCTCTCCCTCCCGCTTCCTCCTGACCAAACCCTAGCTCTCGCCCTCTCCCGCCTCTCCCGCGGCATCTCCTCTCGTGCTCTCTCTCGCCTGCTTCATCGCCCTATCTCCCCTTCTCTTATCTCCCGCGTCACTCATGCCCTAACCCGCCTTCTCTCCACCCGTGTCTACCGCGATTACGTCAAGCTCCCATCTCACCATCGCCTAGTCCAGTCCACCTCTGCCTTCCGCGATATCTCTTCCCTTCCCAACCTTGCCGCCACCATCGCTTCTTCCCCTGTTCGCCTTCGTGATTCCACCGACCCCTCCCTTCGCTCCCCCTACCGCCCTTTTCCTTCTATTCTGCTCCAAGTAGTTGCGGATCACCGCAAGGTCTTCCTCGACGCATGCGTTCGTGCCCCTGGATCATCCGATCCCGCGTCACATCTACGAGACTCCTCCCTTTATGGCCGCCTTTGCCATTCTGATGCCTTTCGCGACCCTTCGATCCAAGTAGGCGGCCACATCGTCCGCCCTTTCATAGCTGGTGATTCATCCTTTCCACTCCTCCCCTTCCTCATCACCCCGTTCTCCTCCGTTTCCCCTTCTTCTGATGCTGCACCATCTGCAGCCGCCCAGGAGGCCTTTGACGCAGCTCTTGCTAAGGCCAGTGCTGCCTCGGTTGAGCCTGCTGTCGCGCTTCTCAAAGGAAGGTGGAAGATACTAAGGAACCTCAATATAGGGCTGGACCATGCCGCCCAAACGGTGGTTGCATGCGTCGTGCTGCACAACTTCTGCCAGATTGCCGGGGAGCCCGAAGATGACGGGAAGTACCTGTGGCGAGATCCGCCAGAGAGCCCACAACCAGCTCGGCCTGTGGATAATGAGGGAGCTTTGTACTATGCAGGGGAGACGGTGAGGCAGGCGCTCGCTGAGGAACTTTTTGAAAGGCAGCAGCACCTCTCAGATGGGACTCCGTCGAGGTAATTTTGTACTTGTTTATAGGCCGTGGCTATGATTAGTTTGCAGAGAAGAGGTGAGTGGCGATTGTTCTTGAACTGATTTTGGCCATCTGGGAATTGAACTAAAGATTCTTCATTTGCCTTCCTGCATTATAATCTTGAGGAGGGTTTTATTTTCAGTTTTTTTTGTTGTTGTTGTAGAAGTGTAGAATGTTATTTTTAACGTTGCTGATACCTTGTAAAAAATTACGGTAACCCATGAGTGAAATTGTAAGATTATTTGTGCCCTTCAAATGAAATCACTGCTTGCTTCTTATCAACTCTTGACATTCAGTTCTTCCTCTTTATTCTTTTGCATAATATGACCAGTTTGTTTCCTTTTCTAGGTGTTGTTGATCTTTGATATATTAAGGGGCTGTTTGGTAGCACCAAATATTTCATTTAAGTAGTATTTCGTAAATCTTCTAAATCCGGATTCAGGAAATCTGGGGAGGTTTAAATCCTAAAAATTATTTGGTAACATTCATGATAAATCCTGTTAAATCCCGTGTGACTGTTTGTCTATTACAAAGAGGCGAGGGTGAGGAGATGAGGCAAACAACGTAGCTTTCGTTTAAATCTGCCGAAGGAGAGGATTTCGGAAATTCGGGATTTACCACCAAAAGGCGGAATTTTCCGTCAACCTCGGCTTTCATTTACCGTGAGATTTGGTTTTGCATTTTAGGCCATTTGGCTGGATTTCGCTCAAATTCGGCCTAAATCCTGCTACCAAACAACCCCTAAAATTGTGAAGGATATATATATACTAGATATAACTTCTCATGATTCTTTTTTAGTAGTTGGGGGTTCTCTCAAGGGAACACCATGGAAAGGGTAAGTATTTAAGATGTCATTCATGGGCAATTGGGCACTAATAGTAAGAATTTAGACTATTGTTCAAGTTAAATGTATGCAAAGTTATAGTTTATCACTCTTTTATTAGTTGCTATGAGAATTGTTTTTACATACATAGGATGTGTTACTTATGTATCTAAATGGTAAAATTGACTTAAATCTATGATCCAGATTAATGTGAAATTTGTATTTGGTTTCAGATTATATATTCCGTTTGCTTGTTATAGTGAACAATGATTAAATTCTGAACAGAAGAGATTCATGCTATAGTGCAGATAAATGTGAAAATTGTTTATTTTCTTGCATAGGTCCTATTTAGTTCCCATGAGAGCTATATGATAACATACCGAACCCATAGCCGTTTGTTTTATGCTCAAATTCTTCTTATGGTATCCTAAATATCTGACCACATATCCTGGCTTGAGGAAAAATCTTCTCCTTAACCAGAAGAGGAAAAGAAAGCAGATTGAAGATCTCACATTTGGCAAGCTTATTCATGCAGCAGCACTTTCCTTAGACTACTCCAACGAGTATGATTCTCTTATCTGACATTGACTTGCATGCTCTTTTGTCGGAGAAATTATTACACGTGGAGTCCGGACGTAGAATTACGTCTGGACTCCAATAAAAATGTGATGTGTTCTTGTACACAGTGTGTACAAATTTATACACACTGTATATAACTGTGTATATTATGTATATAAGTTTGTACATACTATATACATAATTTTGTAATTTGTATATAGTGTTTAAAGTTGTACACACTGTGTACAAGGACACATGTCACATTTTTATTAGAGTCCGGACATAACCGGACTCCGCACAGAATAATTTCTCCTTTTGGCGATCAAATAATCATTGTGGCAGGCCATATCCAAGAACTTGGCCACAACATACATGCCTTCATTAATGTACACTTGTAACACATCACCCCAACATTCACATAATTTATATGCAAGTGTAAATAGTGCTAGAATAACCATTAATTGCAACTTTATTCTTAATCAAGCAAATAAATTTATGTTTCGTTTGGAATAATTTTCTTATTATTTTTTAAAACATTTTTTATACAAATTAATTATTTTTTTTTTAAATTGTAAAACAATACGAAAGTTATTCCAAATGAAACCTGAAGATCCCCAATAAAACAACTAAGCACATTATCATCATCTTCATCTTCTTCGTTAACTTTATCGCCAACTATTTAGGATGTGTATTACAGATCTTCCTTCTCCATATGGTTTCTATTGTTGTTGCATGAGGCATTTGACAACAACTCGTGATATGTTATAACAATCAATTTTATTCTCACAAAAATTGCAAAGCTTTTATTTGATATAATATCGCTTTTTTTCTACTAATTCCTTCAATGGGTCGAATTTGCACTTTTTTTTAGTTGAGGTTTTATTATTGAACTGTCTTTTCAACATACCTGCTTCACTTAAAATCTCTGAGCTTCTCTATAACAAATTGGAAAGCTACATACTTATTGTTTTTCCTTGTTATAATTTTACCTCATATGGAACTCTTTGTTTATGCAGCTCATTTTGATCTTTTGGTTGGAACTTTGGCTATCAGCCAAAAAGTCCCAGGTTCGAAGCTTGAATATGTGATATGTGTGAGCTTGACTTAGGCTTTGTTTGGGATGACTTTCTTACTGCTTCTTAAAATAACTTTTTGGTATAAAATTTTTAATTTTTGTATTAAAAATTTCTTTAAGAAGCAGTAAAAAGCTCGCCCCAAACAAAACCTTAATATGCCTAAATGTCCTATTTAAAAAAAAAAAAAAGGAACTCTTTGTTTACAGCATAGCTACTTTTATTGTTAGTTGATGTTGCATCATGCTTATTTTTAATATTATAAATATATTGTCATCACACACTAGTTTTTTATGTACAAAAATAAATTCTCATGGTGCTTAATCATATACCTTGTAAAGATCAAGGGAAAAAAAAATCCTGATTCTTTACTTGCTCTCCATTATTTTTCATAAATTTTCCTATTAGCACAAAAACCTCCTAAATCCATATTTATGATATTTTTCCAAATTGATTCTTTGGTAATTTTTATGCCCATGACCTATTGTCCTCTCCCATAATTTTATGTATGTGTCATAAACTTGCTTTCCTTTTGCATCAAAATATTTTCTAATTATTTTACATCCTCTCAGATTTTAATATTTCATAAACGTAATTTGTTAACTAAAATATAATATTCAGTACAATTTTTTTTATAAAATTTATATCACCAAAATTATATTTTAATTATAAAAATAATTTAATCTCACGTGATGTTTGTCACACATTGACATTACAAAAATATATTGAGTAATAATGTAAGATTTTTTTTATAAATGGCAACTAAATTATGAAAGAATTCACTAAATATGGTATCATCTTTATTACAAAATAGCTGTAGATCAGTCAATCTTGGGGTGCACCGTAGTCCTCAACACCATAAAATTAAATTGAGCACATTGAAAATTCTTATGAGGACTTAGGCTTGTTTGAGACATCTTTTTTTATTACTTATTAAAGTAAATTTTTAATGTAAAAATTAATTTTTTGTACTAAAAAGCTGATCAAGAAATAATAAAAGAGCTGTCCCAAATGAAGTCTTAGAGATGATTTTAAAGCAATTTTTTTAGTAAAATAATTTAATTTTTTATTAAAAAAATATATTTTAAGAACAGTAATAAAATCATCCCATATAAAATCTTAGAAGACCACCTTAAGCGCCTCAAGGAATTTGAGCAGATGATGGTCATGAAAGATGCGGGTACACAAAAAAGCGCATGTACCAAGGTGTACCGAGTTTTTTGAAAAAACTCAGTACATGCGCTTTTTTGTGTAAAACCGAACCTTCCTCTGTTCAGTGGATAGAATAAAAGTTCCATTTCTACATCTATTGAAGAAGCTTTGTTGTGTACCCGCATCTTTCACACATGTGAGACTTCGGAGAAAGGTTTAATTTTGTTATTAATTGTGGGAGCTCGATGAATGTTCGCTCAAAGTAAATCATACCTTATAATGAAAATTTGAATTGGATGCATAGCTATATAATCTCATAGATTAATAAGACCATCCTTCTTATTATTGATTAGTAAGCTATTTGATACCATTTAAGCTTCTTTTGGATAGTTTTCTTAATGCTTCTTAAAATAATTTTTAGTATATATATTTTTTAAACTAAAGATTTTATACTAAAAAAATACTTCAGAAATTAATTAAAAAATTGTCCTAAATGAAGCCTATTTATTAGAATTTGATACCTGTAAGAGAATTAATTTCTTAAAAAAAATATAACATTCAAAATAAATTTTAAAACTCATAACAGTTTTAAAAATTAATTCTACAAAGATCTCTATCTATCCCAAATATGTAGGAACTTTCCAGCATAAGCAATAAGGGCATCTCCAACCAAAAATCTCATTTTTCACTCCAAAATACAGTGAAACTTAAAAATGTTGTGATTCATTTCTAACTGAACTCCATTTTGTGCGCTTCAGCGAAGGTAACGGACTTTCTCTTCTTTCGCGCGTTTCTTCGGCAAAACTGGTTGAGACAGAAAAATTGCGTAGGTGAACATTGCAACGCCAATATTGGCGTCGACTGTTCACCCTGCACTGATTAGTAATTTTTTTGCCGTTCGAATGGAGCAAATCAGCTACGCCTTACAATCGTTTGGAGTTTGGCTGGAGACGCCCTAACATTTGGAATTATGTTGCATTAGAATCACAAGGCATGCAAACATTGAAACATGAACACCTCCAAACGTCCCAGATATTTCAAATATAATAGTATTTGATCAGCTAGTTCAATGTTCTTCACAAGTAGAATAAGAAAACATAATTTTGCTAGCAGGTAGTCTAACCAGAGGTTTTGTCACCACCAAAGGCATCCTCCTTGGCTCCAACCTCTTCAAGGTGGCTCACATCTCCCCACTTTTTAATGGTCCAGTTTTGGCCATTTTCATGAATATGGATCACACTAACTGCTGTGTTCATGATCTTGCCATTCAGTGGCTCCATTGGGCAAGCTCTCCTGTAAAGCTCTCTCAGGAGCCCGCCATGAGTTACCACTATGATTCTCTCACCTGAAATAATAACAACCAGCCAAATGATTCACACATTTGAAATTAAAGAGCTAGAAAAGAAAAAAATTGAGAGATAATTTGTATTTCCATATAAGCATACGAGCATATACAAGGCTTACATACAGGCCGAAGAGAGCAAAATAAGTAAAATACAATTAAAAAACATTACTTCATAAAGAGAGTATCGAAAAATATTGAGAGATTGCTGTTACAATATGAGAATATTTGTATATATGAGAGTACAACCCTACAAATTTAAAAAAAGCTTGGAATATGACTAGGGGTGTAAACGAGTCGATTATCTGCCTTATCAAACCTGGCTCGTTTAACCCTTAATTAGCTCGAGCTCGAGATCAATTTTGCCTCCTCGTCACGCTCTCCAGAGTAAGCTTAACGACTCCATAAGCCATTTCCTTGTGAAAAGAGCTTGAAAGGATGGGAAGTTCTATGCGGAAAATGGGAGGAGATCGAGTGTCGTCGTGGATGGCGAGGGTGACTCTTCCCTTTCGGTGGCCGAAGAGGGTTATGGTGGTGGCGTGGTCGGCGAGGAAATTGGTTATGCTGGCGGAGCGGTTGAGGAGAGCTACCATCTTGCAGCCGGAGGAGAGAGCGGGGAGGAGTTTGAACATTCGAAAGATGCCGCCGCCGCCACCAGAGCGGAAGGACTTTGACAGACAGGGGCGAAGCCAGGATTTTTTTTCCGTGGGAGAACAAATCATTAAAGTAATTAAAAAATTCTTATCATTAAGAAACTCGATATGCCTTAATACTCGACAACTAAATAAATAATCTTGAACAACCTGATGTTCGTGAACAACATCGTTTAGAGCTCGTGAATATGTTTGTTAAGAAGCTCGATTATGCCTTTTTAATTTTTTTAACTCCCTCATGCCCGCTTCTCTCTCTCTCTCTCTCTCTTTATTTTTGAGATTTTATTCTCCAGCTAATCTCCTTTGTGGCCACAGGAAAATAAAAAAGGAAAAAAAACTGTGGGGTTTAGTCCCACACCGTGTGGAGCAAATGAGTTTTCTTATATATAAACAAATGCATATTCAACCATTTGTTGGACGATGCCACCTTGAGTCTTCGGATGGGTTGGGTGAGTATTCGTGGACTGGATGTGCGAACAAGCTGTCTGCACGGACGATTTTAATCAAATAAATGTATTTTGTGAATTGAAGAGGCTCGACGAGCTTGAAATTAATCGAGCCCAAATCTTGTCCAAGAAGAAGCTCGAACTGAACTTGAGAGCCTGCATCGGTTCGGTTCTCCAGCTTCCCTACATGAAGGATTGCTAAAGGGAGGAAAAAGATAAGAAAATAATTGATTTATCCTATATTTAAAACATCATAAATAATATTAATTTGATGTTCATACCAAAGTCAGTGGGGGCCCATGCCCCCAGGGCCCCCACACTGCATCCGCCAGTGTTGTTGTGGTGGTTGTGGTTTTTGTCACCGGAGTGACGAAGAAGGGATAGGAGAGATGGGGTTTCAGCTAAGGATGGCATTGGTGAAGAGGGCAATGATTTTCTAGTTTGATAGGAGGAAGGCGAGAGGGCGAGTGGCAACTTGGATTTGGTATACAGCTCACGATAATGGTTTGAAGAATGAGATTTGATAAAGAAATTGACAAGTTGGTCTTCTGAAAAAAAAAAGACAAAAAAAAAACTGAAGAAAAATAGTAAAATTAATAATCTTGTCACGAAGAAAGTGCAATCAATTTTGGCTAGAACTTTATTTCGCTTATGGGTTTAAAAAAATAAAATAAGCACAACCAAAAACCCGAGAAATAGAGTATTCAGGGATCTTACTATAAAAATATTCATAAGATAGTACATATGCAGTTATAGGAGAGGCAATCCAATTGATAGTATAAACAATTGTAAGAAAAACTACTCCCAAGATATGTTCAGTAAAAGAATATGAAAGAAGCAAGACATGAAAAATGTCAAGAATATGAACAGGAAAAATGTGTTAATTATGACTACAAATTTGAAATAAATTTGCTTAAGTTCAGAGAAATTTTAAAACAAATATAACCAAGTACAAGAGTAATCATCAATAAAAATGAAAAAAAAAATTATTGGAAGCCTCCCATGTTAGAGTGAACCACATTACTTCAAATATATGAGTAAACAAGATCAAAAGGAGCAATAACACATGAATAACTATTGAAAAAAAAAATTATGGGCAATCTTCGAGTGACCCCAAGAAAGAAGCCTGTGAAGGGAACCAAAAGAAACATGATCAAGATAATAATTATAGACTAAGATTTCGTTTGGGAAGACTTTCTTATTGCTTCTTAAAGCGACTTTTTAATATAAAAAATTTAATTTTTGTACTAGAAAGCGGCTTTAAGAAGCAATAAAAAAGCAGTCCCAAACAAAGTCTAAATGAGATAGAATTGATGGCGGCAACATATATTGCAGTAGGAACAAATGATGGCACATCGGAACTGAAAAATGCAAAGATGCCACAATCCCTATGCCTTGCACTAAAAATCTACCCCATTCGATGATCCTGCATATAGAAACCAAAGTGAGAAAATAATATATCATACCCTAGCTCATATAATTGCCAAATAGAAATATGGTTAAATGTAGGTTTAAGTGGAAAATAGGTATAAGAGAGAGAAGTCCTCGTGTTGCACCCTTTAAAAAAAAAAAAAAAAAAGGTATAAGAGAGAGAAATATATTATAGTTAGAGACATGGCTTGTATGAATGATGGATAAAGTGGAGTCATCTACAATGGATAGAGCAAAGGAAGGACTCTTAATAGAGAATAAAAATGCATCATTTGTTATACAATTACTTCATGCAGAATTGACATACCAAATGAAAGCACTTGAGATGGTGCGCACAACAAGAAAAATATATGTGCTATATAAGAATTTGAATCAGTCAAAGAATGCCTCAAATAAATCAAAGAAAGAGTAGCCATAGAGGATGGAGAAGTATCAGAGATAGTCAAGGAGGAAGTAACAACAAAAAATAGGAAACTTGAATCCAAATGAAGTATGGGACCTAAAAATTCTCCAAAAAGTGGTATACAACTAGAAGACTAATAGGAGGGATCTTTGGGGCATTCATTATTGCGATGTATAGGGTTGACTTTGTAGCAGTGGAGACACTTGCGAGTAGGATAAGCTAGAAGAGTGTGACCAATGACCTTGCACTATTGGCACATAGAAGGCCCAAAACATCATCATCATCATCATTAGCTTTATCCCAGCTATTTGGATAGGCTTTATGAATCATCGATTTATAATAATTTTTATCTGAGTGATGGTCTTATGTGTTGAACCTCTTCTTTGTGAATAATTTTGAATAATTATGTAACCTTAGTTCTACCACTTCTCCTTCCTAATTTTTTGACATTAATTTTATATACTCTCTAATGGATTCATTTTTTAGCTTTCATCGTACATGTCCAAACCACCTAAGCCTATTTTAATTACCACATCTTCATTAGATGTCACTCTAGTCATTCTCCTAATATAATCATTCTTTATTTTATCCTTTCATGTTTTATCAAATGTTCATCTAAGTATTCAAATTTTTATCACTCTTAACATAGATAACAATGACTTCTTTAGTCCATAATACTCAGATCAATGTAACATTGGCAGCATAGTTGAGATTTTATAAAATTTACAATTAAGTCTCAATTATATTATCTTCATATAATATTCCAAAGGCAACCCTAAACTTTAATCATTTAGTCTTAACTCTTATATTCTCATACTACCTCTATTATTCTATATAATGAATCCAACATGCCTAAATTTATCACACCTAGGTGTCACCTTATAATAATATTGATTAATAATTATTGATATCACACGTTCAAAGAGAACTTAAAGGAAAAAAAAAACATTATAAGTATAATATATAATATGAGAAAATAAGATAGACAAACCAAAAATGCACAATAGTAATATCAAGTATACTCCCTCATGCAGTTTCATAACAAAAACTTCCTAGGTTTTCAAATTATCCTACAAAAAAACATATTGTCCAATAATATGATAAGTTTTAGAAAGGATTCATGAAATAAGTCAACTCATTTTTTGAATATTCATTGTTACTTCTCAATTTCTTGAAACTCGATTCACCTCACCTATGCAATTATTATTGATAATCAAACGTGTGAGCTTATAGATTTTATATGGAGAAGAAAACCCCGTGTTTCTCCATGCTCTTAATGCATTTAAATTAATATTGCTTTTGGAGAAGGCTACACAAAAACAACACTAGAAAATATCGTGATGAAACAACCTTTCAAGTAAATTACCTAAAAAGTATAGGCACAAAGATAAATAAAACTTCAAATATTCATAGAATACTGCATTTAATGGTGTGATACCTTCGTGCTTCCTAGCCAAGTTTTCCAAAAAAGATGTGCATCTCTCATGTAGTTGAATAAGACTTTCTCCACCACCCTGAATCAAAACGAGGAAAAAGTATGACATTTACAAAGCACAAACTTTACCAGCTAAAACCACAATCTCTTATAAGATATCATAATTTGTTCTCAAAAGGACATACCAATAATAAAAAAATTAATAGTCAACATATATTAATTAAAGAATATAAAAAAAAATAAAGCACTCAACAAAGAAAAACACGTCCAAATGGATATTAAAACAAACAAAATATGTCAAGCATTACTTAAGAGTATAAATTTAGATAAGCTAAAACCATCATGGCCGATCCCAAGGCAGGGCAAAAGTCCATGAAATAATTTCATTTAATTGAAGCATATGCCTAACCAATATATCTGGATAATCGCATTCCAATTCCAATATAGTAACTAAGAAGCAAAATATTTCAAATTTAGGTACCAGCAGAAAAATCTTCACATATAACCTAAAGTTATACACGGTCTTTTATCCAAAGCACCAGCTATACTAGAGATTTTATCTGTATGTATTATCCAAATAAAAACAAAATATAACTAAACCGAACCCCAACTATGAAGTATCTGATGGCCCGGCGTCTGATCCGGTGGGCCCCATGAGGGTGGGCGGCGAGCAAGAAGAGAGAGGGAGAGTTGTTTAGGAAAATTTTAAATATAATTGTGAGGGAATTAATTAGGGAAAGAAATCTAATTTTAATTTCAAATATGAGAGGGAATCATTTAGGGAAAATCCATGGAAGTTAATATTCATTATGTAAGGAGGAATCAAGGGGGAATTGTTTAGGAAAGTTTTAATTACAATCGAGAGGGAATTAATTAGGGAAAGAGATCTAATTTGAATTCAAATATGAGAGGGAATTATTTAGGGAAAGATGGCTGATTTGGAAGGGAATTAGGGGAGCCTATTTAAGGTTAACTATGGGGTGATTTCATATTATGTTTTGAGTTTACTGAAATTATAATTTCTTAGATTGTGAGGGCTCTAGCAGTTGGCTTGGGATTTGGGAGAGCTGAATCGTCCTCTCCAATTGAAGATTCAACTGTATCTTGCTATTTTCTTTCATATATCTTGCAATAAAAATATTTTTGGTGTGTTCTTCTTCATTCTTATTGCCACTCGTTGATTTCAAGGAAATTGTATTCACTTCCTATCAGTATCCTCTAGTTATGTTGTTGCTGAAGAGCAAACATGGTCACTCTGTTTGTAACCTGTATTCTTACATGCAATAGTAATTGTTGCAGTAATTTTGACGGCCTAAGGCCTAGTAATGGGAATCAAAGGTCTTTAAAAAATAATAATAATTGAAGTGATCAATGTTCCATGAAACCAAACAAATATTTGCAAGTTCACTGTGAAAACTCCACAACCTTCCCATAGCAATATCCAATTACCACTTAGCTGTTCTTTATTGCAAATAGGAATGTCCACACAATGTAAGAATTGAAAGCTTTTTAAACTAGTCAGTTCCAAAATTTGAACTCAAGTTTAGCAAATTACAGGAAGTTCTTGATCTCTTTTAGCAGACAAGAAATGCTTGTAAGCAATTGGCTTCTGTTTCTGTGCATCCCGCATTGTCAAACCCTGAAGATCCCCAAGATGTCTCTCCCTCAAAGATGGATCCAGTATTGCCTGAAACAAGAATCAAAGATGGTGCTAAAAAAACAAAATTATCCTCATTAGATATATTCCAACAATCCGGATTCAGATGAAGATTCTAATCTCAATATGAGAAGTTGCTGTACATATACCGTTTCAATGTTCTTATGCTGATATCAGCATGTACAACGGAGGTTAGAAGATGAACTAATAATGCAAGTCGATAGAATAAATGTGAACGGATATAGAGTGAAACATGGAAGAACCAAGATAAAATGAATAGGAGCTTGTGCAGAATAACTTGCACAAAATAAAGGTGAACATCTTATGTAGCACTTAACAAATGAATGGGAGAGGAGGATTCAACCCATATTGTTGTGATAAATCCAATGAGAATGATTATGATGACAACTTCCATTATTTCAAATTCCTAGTAATCTGGCTGCTTATTTTTTTGTCTTGGAACAGTTGATCTGATTAAGATTAGAAAACATATGCTACCTGATACCTCCACAACAAGAATAAAGCACGATTGTGTATTTTGAATAATAGACTAAGGGTTCACATGCCATGTAAAGGGAAATTAAGAAAGTGGTTATTTCAACAACGATTGTGTATTTTTTATTGAAAATAAGAGGACACTTGCAAACACCAATCAGGTCTAAACAAAAAGTGAATCAAGCATACCTCAGGTAGATTACATCTGCTTGCTATTATACCAGCAGTCTCAGCAGCTCGCTGCAAGTCAGATGAATAAATGGCAACAAAATCCTCTTGCTTGGACAGATGAGACGCCACCTTAAAAAAGATCAAACAGGGCATGCAATATCACATCAAAATCACGAATTGTAATAGCATGCAGATTATCTTACCTTACCGCAACTGCTTGCTGCCTTCCAATGTCATTAAGTTCTGAATCAATGTGTCCCTAAACTAACAGCAAGAAAAACCAAGTTATGAAGGGAAAGGGAAAACCAAGTTCACATTAGTAATAAAGGATAAGAAGTTCCAAGCTGCACTTGGGAATTTAGACGCTACCTATTTGCATGGTGCACCAGAAATTTACCATGATAGACTTGGTGGACAGTTTAAATACTCAGCTCATCAAATCAATCAGTAAAGATTTTAAACGCTAACATTAAAAAATAATAACTTTTTCAAAAATTTATTGTATAAGTAGCAGACTGGTAAGCTCAGGAGAATGCGTTCAAAAATCAAAGACAAAGTAGAAAAAACTAAAAGCAATAAGGAGGCTTCAGAAATAATGTACAAGGATGGGGACTCTGAAGAAATAGACACTTTTCATAACCATCCATATCCATACAGTACAGCTGCTTCATTTAAGGGATATCCCAACAACAACAATAACAATAACATCAAACTTTTATCCTACTATGTGGGGTCGGCTACCTGAAACATTTTTATCGATTGAGTCCTATTAAGAGTCAAATTCTCATTTAAGTCTAAAAAAAATTGTCATTTCTAATATTTTCTAACCTATCTCTAACTTTCTTAACATAGGTTAAATCTAATATGTCTACTCTCCTAACTAAGTTATCAGAATGCCAGATCTTTATATGACCAAACCATCTAAGGCGACTCCCTCTAATCTTATTAGACACTAGAGCTATTCCAACCTTTTCACGTAAATATTCGTTGCTCATTATATCTCGAAGTGTAAAACCACTTATCCACCTAAACATCCTAATCTTTGCAACAATCAACTTAATTTTTTGCTTTGCTTTTACTAGCAATGATAGTTCAAAAAGTTTTAGGTAAGTTGTAGACTACCAAATGCAACCCTCCACTATTCTCAACCAAGATTTGAAACTCAACGCGACTGCAATGTTATTGAATGGACATCACAAGAGAAAAAAAAAAACATGATCGTTTAACCTTGTGTTTCTCCCTTCAGTTAGATTAAAGAACTTATCTTCGTATGCCTTCATTTTTTTATTTTTTCATTGATAAGTAGTGCTGCCTATTTGCATCTAACACATGTACCTTCCAACATATGCCTTGAAGAGTGGTATTCCTCACAACTGCAACACGAAACCCCATCGTTGAAAACGTTAGTCAACCGATAATCTTGATTAACAAATATTGCATAAGTGCACCTAGAATATGTTATGTCCATATCAATGAATAGTATGAGTAGGTTAGAATGACAAATCATTAAAATGGAGAAGGTGAAAGAAAATGGAATACACAAGGGAGGGCAAAAAGAAATGGGGAAAAGCTAAATTTATTTTGGAATGACTAATAATTAAAATAAAGTTTCTGAGTTTGTCTTCTTTTTTTTTTTGAATTGAGCCCTTCTTATTCCACAAAATAGGTCAGCACTTTTTAATAATCTTCTTTATTTCCACCATAGCTTGAGGGCTTGTTATGAATTTTTCTTTCTTGCAAAAGTTGCACCATAGATTACCCTTGAAGAAGTTTTTTTTTTCTTATTTAGAGAAAGAGACTATAGCGGTAAATCCCTTGCATTGAGGTTTGGTTGTTATGGTAAATATTTCGGAGATCAAAACGTCGAGCATTATTATCTTTCCTTCATTAGTTCATATGAGAGAAGAACCTCATTTAATGATAATAGGTTTTCTCTGCTTCAGATTTGGACACAAATTTTTACGTTAAGCATCGAGTCATCTGAAGAACTGAAACACCATTCTCTTATACAAACTCTTTTAAAATTATCTCAAAATTGCATCATAACATCTTGAGATCTTGTTGATAATTAAATTCAAGCCAACAAACGTTCAATGCATTAAAATACTCAATAACATGAAGGTTACATTGCTTGGTTAATAAAATCTTAGTTTTGATCTTATATGACAGCAACATTCTTCATTTTTAGTACGTTTGTTTGACGAAGTCCCAACATTCTTTTGTTGTAGAGAGGAATATAGATTACCCATTGATTTTATACATTGTTGACCTCCTTTTTTGGCATCGGTCACTTGCACAATCTTGTTACTTTTATATATCGTAGATCGATTCATTTGCTTGTATGTTGCACCGAAGTGTCGATGAAGGGTCATCTTGCATATGTTATTTCGGCTCGTCGTCGGCCTTAAGATTTACTACTTTTCGATCACATGTCGTTCTCTTATCATGATTTAAAATGCAAGTGGTCGGGTCGATGACGATTCGATGTGATTTCACGGGTTTGGGCCTTTATCGTGCATGTTCGTTCCATGCGCAACATCTTTTGACCGGAACCTTATTTTGTGAAGCGGATCGCACGAGTGCATTTGACTCATCGAGACAAATCAAACGGGCCCATTCGCGCTCGAATCAGACGCCGTTTGATGCATGTCAGAGAAGTGAGATTATCGTTATTAATATTGTTATTTAAATATATTTTAAAAAATAATAATAAATAAGATAAGATAATATATATATTTCTAGTAAATTTGAAATTAAGTAAATATAATAAACTATATTTAGATTAAAAATATACATATAACTTCTTGATTATTTCAAAATAAAATAAATTTAGATTGAAATTTAAAACATAAAATTATATGTACATGATTAATGTAAGCTAAATATATACATATATAAATATATACATAATATTTATTAATATCTATCTTATAGTTTGTATGCAAAATAATTTCAACTTTATCTTTTTATCTCTCTAAATCCAATAATTTTACATCCAACAGTTGGGTTGGCAAACACGGTTATAGTCATCTGATAAAGGATTTTTTTTTTTAAGAAAATTAAATCTGGACCCTTTGATGAAGGGTTTCCAAGAGGCCTCTTCAGGATATATAGTTCCATTTTCAGGTTTTGAAGAGGAGATCTCGAAAATTCCCTCATTCTCACGCCGCTCATTCTCACACAGAGCTCTTGCGCTCTCCTCTTGTTCTCAAGCTCCAGGGAGCAGCAAAAGCTGGACCTCTCCTCCACGTTCGTGTGTCCCAGGCCGACAAATAGCAGCCCACCCCAGTCCACTATCCACTTGCGACTCCCACCGACAACCAGTTGAGTTTCGACCGGCCAGAATTCGTCACTGAGCTCCAGGTTTCCTTCATCATTTAGCCGTAAGTAAAAGGGAGATGACTAGGGCCGGCCACCATACCCTGTCCATCAGCTCCGTCCGACGCCGATCTCGAACCTCTCCCTATCGCTCACTCGCTGGTCCAGCCACCTCAATCGCCACCGACGAAGAACAGATGCTAAGACAATCGAGAGCTAAAGCTTGAGGCAAGAGAGCATATGTATTTGACTTGCTGGAGCAAGTTTTCTTCATTCCAGGTCAGTTGTCTAATGGTATTGTTCTATATAAAGTCCTATAAAAATATGTACATACATATTGAATTCATTTATAAGATGGTCTGAGTTGATATAAAAAAAAAAAGAGAGTTGTATTACTGTCAAGGAAGATTCAATGAACATTGTCGTTTACATCAATGTTTTTTTTTTATGAGTCTATCCTGTCTTGTTCTGCTCATATTTGTAATCATATGAAATAGTACATATATATCAAGCAATTATTATTAAATGTCTTTAATAAGCTCGCTGGAATTAGCATAATCATGGTGGGGAAATGAATGAGGTTTTGTAAGCGAAGAGCATTTTGACATCTGGAGTAGAGGAATTTATTTTTATTGTTGTGATTTATGTTTGCATACACCTAATTATGTAACCTGATTTGTGTTCTCTCTACATAATACCTTCAGTAGTTTGCTGGGAGATATTTCTTTAAGTTTGTTGCATAAATACAAATGATAAAAAAAGTATGAGCCTATTTTAGTTTTGATGTGGGCTTGGGTATTTATTTATTTATTTTGTCCTAATTTTCATATTTCAAGTTTATAAAATATGTGACATTGTGCAGTGACTAAGGTTCTTCCTCCCCTTTAAGTTTATTTGTGAATTCAGCAATTTAACCAATAGCAGGCAATAACTGAGCTATATCCATGGCATTTCTCTATTGATCTACAGAGAAAATTATACAAAAAAAAAGGTGGATCAAGTTCTATTAGATAATAGTTGCAATGCTTTCCTCTTCCTCTTCGTGTATGATATTAAGCCTAAGTCATATTTTATCTTCCTCATTATTTGAGACAATGTATACTAACTGTTTGATGAAATGCCACAATAAAATGATGTTAAGATCTTGTTTGTATTATATATTTATGATAAAATATATACACTACGGATTCACTAAATTTGTTAACCTTATATATATTATATATAAAGAGTTTATAAAGTTTGATATTGTTTCATTATTGATTAGTCTAAGGAAGCCTCGGATTAGATCATTTAATTCAAAAAATGCCATTAGGGAAGATTCACGATTGTTTGAGCATGTTGAAACTTCATATGATGAATTGATGCATCGAGAAATGAAAGTAAAATGAATATTGGACGTTGGATTGCAAGTAGGATGAATAACAAGGAAAAGAAATCTTGTGTGGCATGTTTGATTGTTATGAATCTTTGGTTGCTTTATAGCAATTCTGATTTGAGCAAGCCATGTCTTGAGAGAATGCATGTATGTTAGAAGTATGTTTGATGAAAGTCACCAATCAATAAGTAAATCCTTAATGATGGAATACACATATACAATAAATATTGACATAGGTTGGAAGTGAATATTGATGCTCCATCCAATAAATTGCATATATGTCCTCTTGGAAGAATTTGGCAAGGTCGAATGTCTTGATTGTGAATAAAAAAATTTTGAGAACTTCTCAGGAATATCATTGTGATGTATTATATAATGCTAAAACTTTTCATTTGATTCGATTATATCTTGTCTTATTCTTTGTATTCACAGTTTCACATGCTTGAATATGCATGACGTATTTGCATTAATCATATAAATTCTTTGTCGAACCCATATATAGATTCTCTAAATTTTTTTTTACCACGTTGATACATTTACTGGAGAATTTGCATATTAATTATGGT